CAAAAGCGAAGGATTATAAAATCTATATAATGCCCAAGCGCATTAACGTACTGTCTCTTAAATTTACTGAAACAAAAATTGAGCTCTCTGACAAACTTGATGCGGCACTTGATTCTATAAACATTACCAATGATATCGAATCATCTTGGAAGGCTCTGCGAGATGCAAGGCATTCTGCATCCTTGGAGTTTTTCGGCCTACCACATCTGAAACATCAAGAGTGGTTTGCTGACAATAATACAAAGGTTCAGCAGCACTCTTCTCATAAAGCATGGATTGAGGACAAGAACTTCTCCGCTAAGATCGCTTACAAGATGTGCAAAAGTCAGGTTCAACGAGCTCTTAGAGCCATGAAAGAACGTTGGTGGTCTGAAAAGGCTACTGAACTCCAAGAAATTTCAGATAGAAAGGATGTAAAGGCTTTCTATGCTGGCCTCAAGTACGATTTCCGTCCTCAGAAAAGTGGTGTTCATCCATTCCCCACAACAGATGGTGAAACTCTTTTGACGGATAAGTCAGACACTTTGGATCGTTGGAAAGAGCATTTTCGAAACTGTGTTAAACACCACTTCGGTTACTGATGAGGAAGCCATCACACCAATTGTGCAAAATCCAGAAATTCCGGAGTTGTCTTTTGAACCTTCTCCTAAGGATCCTATTCCACCTGAATTGTATAAGCATGGCGGCCAAAAGTTGGTAGAAAACTTGCATCTCCTTTTCGTGGAGATATGGAAGGTAGGCTGTGTCCCACAGGATTATAAAGATGCCACTAACAAACACCTCTGTAAAAACAAGGGTTTCAGGTGTGTCTGTGTTAATCATCGGGGGATATCACTCCTTTCAATCGCAGGCAAAATCCTAACTAGATTGATTCTAAAAAAATCATTATAAACCTTGCCGACGACATTTATTCTGAATCGCAGTGTGGTTTTCCGCCGGGTCGTGGCACTATTGACATGGTCTTTCCGCGAGTAAACCAGGAGTTATACATGGTGTTTGTGGACTTGACGAAGGCCTTTGACACTGTGAATCGGCAGGTTCCTTGGCAAGTCTTGAAGAAAATCCCAGAAAATCCCAGAAAATATGCCAGAAAATATGCTAAAGGAGATCATCTACTTTCATGAAGGAATGAAAGCTAATAACGTGTCTGATGGTATGATGTCGGAATCCTTTGATGTCACAAATGGCACCAAGCAAGGTTGTGTCATGGCACCTGTTCTTTTTGCCCTTTTCTTCTCAGTGATGCTGAAATATGCATTCGCAGACACAGAGAGCAGCATCAAGTTTCAGTTTCGAACAACTGGTGGACTCTTCAATCATCAGCGCTTCAAAGCCATGACCCACCTTCGTACGCAAATTATTCGGGATTGTTGTTGGCTGATGCTGATGCTCTTGTTGTGACATCATTTGCGGAGGCCCAACATCTAATAAATCTTTTCTCAGTTGCACGTAAAGACTTTGGTCTTACACTTAGCATAAAGAAAACTGAAGTCGTGCACCAACCTTGTCCGACTCTGAAGCAATTCTGTGGTCAGAAACAAAAACCACCAGTCTACAAATTTCCAGAGAGACCATTGAAAGTAGAAGACTGAACTATGAAAAAGTCTTTCACCTATCTTGGTAGCAAAGTCAACTATAGTGGAGCTTCAGATGATGAAATCATGCATCGGATTGCTAAGGCTACCAGTGCTTTCGACAAACTTCGCCATCGCTTGTGGAATAAGGGAGTATTAGACTGGATAGAAAAATTACAGAGCTGTTGTACTTCCCATCCTTTTCAAGATAGGACATCTAACGTAGACCTGTTTAACAGGTGTAATATTGGAGGAATCGAGACTTTTCTCATAGAGTCTCAGTTATAGTGGTCTGGTCATGTCTTGGGAATGTCTGATGACAGGATACCAAAAGGGCCTAATGTACAGCTAGTTAGATCAGGGCTATAGGAATATAGGACGTCCATGACTTAGATACAAAGACAAGCTGAAGAGCAACCTGTCAGCTGTCAATATACCTCATAACACCCTCTAACGCGGTAGAGTGGAGATCAACGTGTTTTAGTTAACTCAGCAGTTATCAATCTGCTACTCTGAATCGTCTTCGGGAAGCGAGAGCAAGAACTAAAAGGTCAGCCAATCTAACAGTGATCTCATCCCACAATCCCCTCTCTTGCTTCATATGCGGCCTCCTTTGTAAATCACTACCGGGTCTTAAGAGCCACTTAAGATTATCTCACAAAATTCCTAATTGAATTAATTAAGTTGTCAGATCATCATACGTCGAAACCAACGGTATATATATATATATATATATATATATATGAATGAAAAGACAAGCGGAAAACTATACTTAATTTTTAGCCGACGCGTTTCGTCATCTGATGGACTTTATCAAGGCAAATGTGATGATTTTATTTTGCAACAAGCATATATTTGACAGTTGCACATTTTTTAAAATTGAAGAATGTACATAAATATTCATCTGGTTAGAAGCTAAATTACGTCTTCTAGTACCTTCGAAAGGAGTGTTTTTAAATTTAAAGTTTCACATAAACATACAATAGGTTAATTGAAATGTTGAGGAACTGAGACCTTTGTTTATGTCATGTGGCAGCGTCATTTTTTCCCAATCTCACCTTTTCACAAGTAATTACTATTTTCTAAACAAACATATAAAACAAATTCGTTTTAAAATCAAAGGGATACGGCTGAATCCATCATTTCAAATTTTACAGATGTATACTAAATGATTTAATCGAACGTCTAAATGCCAACACATTTCTGTTAACCTGATGAATATTTATGAGCGTCTTTCATTTAAAAATTTCATCTCAATGATACTATTCATTCATTTTGTCTCTTCTACAGACATACTCAAACTGGGAATATTTACGCACACACACACACACACATATATATATATATATATTTATAATTATTTTTCAAAAATATGTTTACATCACGACACAGAAATTATTGTTTCGAAAGTTAAACTCAAGTCCTAAAATAAAAAAAAGATTATAACTTTAAACTCTATTTCTGTATCTACTACTGTTTTTAAATTGAAAAACGTAAATACTAAAGAACTTTGGATTATTAATCTCACTATTCTTTCCTATGACATCAATATATACACACACACTCATATCTATATCTATCTATCTATCTGATAAAATGGACAAAGTCCGACAATTATTTTTTAAAGACATTTTTTATGGTTATACGTTTTTTTAGCAAGCTTGTATAACGTCATTTGTTTACATTTGGATACGCATTGAGCAGATATAGATGAAGGAGAGAAAAACATGGAGAATTGTGTTTAAAAACAGTAAAAGCGACTTTGCTAACCGAACGTTCCTCTGTGGCCCAATCGGTTAAGGCGCGTCAGGCTATATGACGGTTTCTTATAGGATACAGGTTCGATTCCTGTCGGAGGACATATATTTTCTATGAAAATTTCTCGGACATTCAGGCCTATAAAAGTTGTTAATATTGTTTATTATAAAAACAGAGCATTTACTTAAATATTTGTATCTATAAAAAGAACGTATAAACATAAAAAATGTCTTATATATATATATATATATATATATATTGTTTCTGCTATTGTTGTGTTTATGGGGCTTTGTGTGTAAAGAAGTAAATATAGAATGAATAATAAATCATTAAATAAACAATAAATTTGAAACGAGAAAAAAAACTAGAGGTAATATAAAGGAAAAGTATTTATCAACTAATCAAACAATAAAATGAATGACTATTTCTCAACAGATAAACCAACGTTGCCAATATTTCCATGGAACCTTCGCATAGCATTTTGTCCCATTTTACACGTTATCGAACTTGCCACATCTATCGAGTTCGAAGTCAAGCAAACCATCTTCAACCTCAACAGGACGACCTTTGCGTGGCGCCTCTCTTAAGCCGAAGTCACCTTTTCTGAACCTTTCAAACTATTTTTGCAATTTCGTTCGTTTCAGGAATCTGTCCAATAAACAATCAGGATATTTTGGGTGGCTTCTGCAGAATTCTTAGGAGAGCCAATTTCGTAAATAATATCATTGGATCATTATGCGAAGACGTAACAGACTCGTTTAAAAGCATACGACAACATACAAATAGTTGGTATTATTTCGACGTTTTAGAAGCGTGAAAATAGTCAATGTATTGTCATCACATATTTACTTAATACATGAGTAAGCTAAGCGTAGTAAGCATCTATTTATCCATTTGCTTATGTCAGTGTGAGTACATTTATATATATATATATATATATATATATAATTATTTATTTAAAAATATGATTCCAAATCGCTACATAAGAGGTCTCATGTTTCAAAACAAGAGCCAAAAACTTCAATATAATCCTTTAAATTAAATTGAATTTAAATTAAAATGGGCTCCGTTCCATCTTCAAGCGAAATTTTTGTTGGAATAACGTATATCTGAAATTTACTTGTTTTAAAATTGAAATCAAAATCACCATGGTAACAGCTAGGGTGAATTGTCTAAATTGGGTAGGCGAGTGTAGGGTGTTTATAATAAGTAGCGGTATAGAGATACTTTCAAGGTGTCAAGTCGGGGAAAGGTGGAGGTGTCAAAAATGAAACGGAAGATGTATTAAGCCTTCGTCAAGTTTGCTTGTCTATGGATATTTATTTATTTGTCTATGGATATTTATTTTATTTTATTTTATTATGAAAGGGAATTGTGCATATAAAAAAAAAAAGAAAAACTTTCGTAACTTTATTTTTTTGACGACTTCATAAAGGGTTATCTTTTATGTAAGGTATTTAAACTACTAATTTAGGCTATGGATTATGAAGGGTGTTATGTTGTATGCATGTTTGTAGTTAATTATTCCTACTATGAATCTGATGATTAGGCTATTTGTTTAACAAGTTATATAATTTTTTTTATCTAATAATTCAAACCAAAAATCATACATATATATATAATATATATAGATATATATAATCATAGATATAATATATATAATCATAG